CAAGCAGAATGTACTAGGGCACAGTAGTGTGCAGTAAGTTTCCGCATTGCAGTGTATAGCGCAAGAGCCGTGGATAACCTTGCATAACCTGACCTAATCTACCCTAACCAATCGTAGCATAACTCAATGTAACGTGCCGCAATCGCTATTGCACGCCACCCCAGAGCCCGGAAGGGTACTGTATAGCAATGCAGGGCGCAAGAATCCAACGAATACCGGTGTACAGCACAAAAGTGGAATTTATCCCAACGTAACTTCTCCTAACCTAACCTAACCAAACGTATCATAGCTTAACATGACTTTCCGACAACACTGCCACTGCCCTCCACAGAGCCACGCAGAATATAGTAGAGCACAGCAGATCACAGAAATCCACCGAACAGCCGAGTAAAGCACAAAAGTCGTAGTAGCCTATCCTAACCTAGGCAAAGGTAACATACGCAAACGTAACCAGGCTCAACCTAACATGACGAGACAACAACTCCTGGCCGCCACAGGGTCAAGCAGAATGTTCTAGAGCACAGTAGTGCACAGAAATGCACCGCATTGCTGTGAATAGCACAAAAGTCGAAGATATCCTGACCTAACCAGACCTAGCATAACCTAGCGTATAGTAGCATACCTCTGCATAACGTGCCGTGACCACTGCTGCAGTCGTCCCCAAAGCAAAGCGCGATAAAGTAGAGCGCAGTAATCCACCACGTAATAGTGCGCAGTGCGAGCTAGGAGCTATCCTAGCAAACTTAACCTAACCTAGTCAGATCAAAACGCAACCTAGTTCAAACTATCGAATCAACAGAATCGCAGTACATAGCGCAAGATTCATAGCCACCCGAAACTAACCTATGTCAAGGTAATCTAACCAAACGTAGCGTAACCCAGCTCAACGTGCAGCGACCCCTATTGCTGGACTCCCCAGAGCCCAGCAGTGTAAAGTAGAGCACAGTGGATCACAGATATCCACCGAGTAAATGTGTATAGCACGAAAGTCATTGCTATCCTGACAAATCTTACCCTAACCTAACCTAACCAAACGTACCATAACTGAACCTGACGTGCCGCTACCGCAATTGCTCACCTCCGCAGAGTCGAGCAGAGTATAGTACATCAATGTAGAGCACAGGAGTCCACCGAATAGCAGTGTATACCTCGAAAGTCGAAGCTAACCGAACTTAACCCAAACTAACGTAACCAAATCAGACGTAGCATAGCGTAATCTATCGTGCCGAGACATGTATTGATGGCCTACCCGGAGCCAGGCAGATCATATTAGACCAATGCAGAGCGCTGAGGTCCAACGAACAACAGTGTATAGCGTAAAAGGCAAAGCTACCCTACCCTAAGCTAGCCTAGCGTGACACAAGCAAACGTAAACTAACTCAACCTAACGTGTCGACACCAATATTGCTGCATTCCTCAGAGACGCGCATAGCATACTAGAGGACAGTAGAGCGCAGAAATCCTCCGATTAACAGTGTACAACGCGAAAGTCAAAGGTGTCCATACCTAACACAAACTAACATAACACAACCAAACGTAGCCTAACCTAACGTATCCTGCCGAGAACGCTATTGCATGCCTCCTCAGACACAAGCAGAGCATGCTGGAGCGTAGCAGAGCGTAGAAATCCAATGAATAGCAATGTATAGCACAAGAGAGAAAGATATCCTCTCATAACCGGACCAAACGTGACACAACCATACGTTACATGGCATGGATTGGTGTGCACCGAACACTATTGCTGGCAACACGAGAGCCAAGCTGTATATAGCCGAGCAATGTGGAGCGCAGGCATCCACCGCATTGCAGTATATAGCACAATATGCCTAGTAACACTCTCCTAACATAGCCACGAGTAATACAACCGAAGGTAGCATAACGCAACCTATCGTGCCTTGACCACTATTGCTACAATCCCCAGGTCTAAGCAGAATGTACAAGAGCACGGTGGAGCGCAGTAACCTGCCGCATTACAGTGTAAAGCACAAAAGTGGAAGATATTCAAAGCCTACCAGCACTAATCTAACCTAACCGACCGTAGCTGAACTCAACATAAGGTGCCGAGGCTAGAATTTCTGGCCTACCCAGAGCCAAACGGAGCATATTAGAGCAATGCAGGGAGCTGAAATCCTCCGACTGGCTGTGCACGACGTACAAGGCAAAGCTACCCTATCCTAACCTAAGAGAACGTAACTGCCATACGTAATCTGTCTCAACCTAACTTGCCGAGACCGCTATTGCTGGCCTCCCAATAGCCAAGCAGGGCATACTAGCACACAATAGATCGCAGAAATCTACCCAAAATCAGTGTACACCGCGTTAGTCATAGCTATGCAATGCTAACCCAGACAAACATAACCGAAACGAACGTAACATAACTCAATCTAACGTGCCGAGACTACAACTACTGGCCTGCCCATAGACGAGCACAGTATAGTAGAGCAATGTAGAGTGCAGGGAACCACCGCATAGCGGTGTGCAGGACAAAAGTCTATGCTAACGTATCCTAACCTATCAAACGTAACTTAAACCAAGATATTGCGCCACGACCACCGTTACTGGCTTCCCCAGAGCCGACCAGAATATAGTTCAGCGCCGTAGAGCGCAGAACTCCACCGAATAGCAGCGTACACCACGAAAGTCAAAGCTATCCAAGCCTAACCCAAGCAAACGTAACACAACCAAACGAAGCATAGCATAAACTGACGTGCCGAGACCACAATTGCTTGCACCGCAGTAACATGCAGAGGAAACTATAGCCACGTGGAGCCCAGGAATTCGCCGAATAGCAGTGTATAGCATAAAAGTCTAAGACGTCCATACCTAACATGTCCTAACCTAACATCACCGAACGTGGCGTACCCAAATGCAACGTGCCGCGACCACTTTTGCTGGCCTCCCGGTAGCCGAGCAGAATATACTACAGCACTGTAGAGCGCAGAAGGTCACGAAGTATCAGTGTACTGCACAAAGGTCAAAGAGGTCCTATCGCAACATGACCTGACATACCCAAAGCGAACGTGGAATACCTAAATCTAACGTGTCGAGACCAGTATTACTGGCCTGCACATAGACGAGCAGAGTGTGATAGTGTAACGTAGAGCGCAGGAATCCACCGGATAGCAGTGAATAGCACAAAAGTCAAAGTTATCCTAATCTAACCTATCCAAACGTAATGCGGCCAAACGCATCCTAACTCCACCTAACTTGCCGAGGACACTATTGCTGGCCTCCACATCGTCAAGCAGGGCATATTAGAGGAGAGTAGAGCGCAAGGGTCCATAGAATGTTAGTGTATAGCACGGAAGTCGACGATATCCCGATCAAACCCCAGCAAACGTTAACTAGCACAACCTAACATGCAGCGGCCACAATTTCAAGCATTCCCAGACCAAAGCAGGGAACATTAGATCGCAGTAGATCTTAGGAATCAACCGAATAGCGGTGTATCGCACAAAATTCGAGCCATGCTAACTTTACACAACGTAACGTAATCTAACCAAACGCAACCTAACCCAACCTGCCGTGCTGAGACCGCTATTGCTGGCATCCCCAGCTCGAAGCAGAGCATACCAAGGCACAGAAGAGTGTACGAAACCACCGAATAGCGGCGCATAGGACAAAAGTCGAAACCATCATATCCATCCTAACCAAACTTAACCTAACCGGTAGCAACGTATATCGGACTTGCTTGCGGAGACCAATACATTTGGCCTCTCCAGAGACAAGCAGAATATACTAGAGCACAGTAGAGTGCAGATATCCACCGAATAGCTGAGTATAGCGCCAAAGTCGAAGCCATCTCAACATAACCAAACCTAACACGACCTAAACAAACGTGACCTAGCAAAATCTGTTCCGCACGATCGCAATTGCTTGTCTCCCAGCGCCAATCGGAGCATATTAGAACGCAGTAGAGCGCAGAAGTCCACCGAATAGCAGCGTATAGCACAAAAGTCAAAGAAATCCTCACCAAACATAATCAAACCTAGCCTAACGGAACATAACGTAACTCAACTGAACGCGCCGCGAGCACTATTCCTGGCGTCCGTATGGACAAGCAGGGTTGTTGGCGCACAGAGGAGCGCAGAAGACCATAGAATAGCAGTGTGCAGCACAGACGTCAAATATATCCTAACCGAACACATCCTAGCCAAATTGGAGGATGCCCTCGCGGCGCTCAGTCCCCGAATCGACGCAAAGTTCGAGGAGCTCGTGCGAACGCTCCCTGTGGCGGCCGGGCGGAATGCGCCTGCCCCAGCGCCGGAGCAAGCGAGCACCACCGCCGGCCTGCGCGAGCGGCATGGATCAGTGGCCCCGACGGACACTGTCGGGGGCGCTTCCCGTGGCTGGCCTGTTGACGTCCCGGCGAAGGCGCCGGTCGCGGCCCCGGTCGTAGCCGGGAAGGACGAGGAGGCCATCAGCTCTCGTCATCGGTAGGCATGAGAAGCGAGCGCAGCGGCAGGCGGCCGCTGCCACGCAACTTCCCGCGAGGATGCCCACGAATGCGCCGAAGGGAGCCGGCGGTAAGGCGGGCGCCGCGCCTCGAGGACGAGCTCCGCTCGCGCGCATCCTGCGACCGCCGCGAGGACCGGAGCGATGCCCGGTCACGACAAGGAGAAGAGCGGCGATAAGCAGATCCCCATTCTTAAGCGGCCGCCGCCGCGGTTCGGGTACCAGAGAGCTCGAGTCTCTCTAGCGCTGAGGCCACCTCCGCTGCAAGAGAAAAAATAAGCCTCGCCAGGCGCCTGCTGGCTCCGCGTCGGCCTCAGCGCCGGCGAGCGCCAATTCCAAAATTGCGTTCGCGATTTCCGTCTCCGCGACCGCTGTCGCGATGGGCCTGCCGACCGGCGGAGCACCGGGCCCGCAGCTGGCACGAACGAAGGGAGCCAGGGGGAGGCCATGTGGACGGCCTAAATTTCACGTCGTCCACGGTTCTCCAGGCCAACTTGAACCACTCGCGGGCTTCGCAGGACCTGCTCCTGCAGACGCTAGTTGAGATGGGTGTCGGGCTGGCTGTTACCGCAGAGCCGTACCGTATCCCCGATCAAGAAGTGTGGCTTGGGGATCGGGACGACTGCGTGGCGATCATCGCCATGGGACTACAGCGGACACCCGCACCAACAACGCTTCACAGCGGCGAGGCATTCGTGGCGGTCTCCTGGAAAGCCTTAGCCGTGGAGGGTTTCTACGACTGCCCCAACCGCGACCTCTCTTCGTGCGAGAGATACCTGGACGTACTCGGATGTTTCCTTAGTGGACACATGGCTCGTCCGGTTCTGGCCCTTGGGGACCTCAGCGCCCACTCCGTGGCGCGGCGTTCCCCGCGAGCAGATGCTCGGGACGAGGCCCTGTAAGATTGGGCCGCGTGGTTGGATCTCAGGTTGCTCAATCGGGGTTCCGTAAGCACATGCGTCCGTTGGAACGGCAAGTCCATCGTGGATCGCCGGCAGCTGTGCGGCGTGTCACCAGCTGGAGGGTGGCGGTGGAGGTGGAAACGCTTCGCGACCACCACCACATCTCCATGATGCTTGCCGTCACACCTCGCACCGAGCTGGAACCACCCAGCGGGAAGCACGACGCCGTGCCGCGGCGGGTGCTCGGGCGCCTCGACCGCGACCTCTGCGCCGCGGACGTCCAGGTCGTCGCCTGGGCGGATGGGGCCGTCGGGCTCGAAAAAGACGAAGCGGGGTTAGGTGCGGAGCGGCTAATGGAGGCGATGACGCGCGCGTGCGGCGTTGGCATACTGCGGGTGATGGAGCCACCATCGAGGGGTGCAGTGCACTGGTGGTCGGTCGAAGTCGCGCAGCTCCGGGAAACCTTCGTGCTCGCCCGGCGCCAGTACACCAGTGCGCGACGTCGGCGACGCGCGGTGACCGTCGAGGACATCGCGCGCCTCTATTGCGAGTAGCGGTCCGCGCTGTGCGATCTCCGGATGGAGATTCGCAGAGGCAAATCTAGGCAATGTTACGAACACCAGGCGACGCTCGAAAGTGAACCGTGGGGACGCCCGTATAAATTAGTAATGGGGAAGTTATGGGCATGGGCGCCCCCCGTGTCCGAGTGTATGGATCCCGATCTCATGCGGCGGGTGATCGGCACCCTCTTCCCGGTGGCGGCGGAGGATGGGATGCACACCGTTGCAGTACGATCGGAAATGGTCGGATGGTCCGACGGGCTGTGGGTCTCGCGTGAGTAGTTGGGCGGTGCAGTCGTTAGGATTTGGGCGAGGTGCACCACCCCCGTACCGAACGGCATCACAGGCTGTTCGACAGCTGCCTCAGGACAGGTTGCTTCCCGGCCTGTTGGAAGAGCGCGAGGTTCGTGCTGATCCCGTAACCAGGGAAGCCGCCGGAATCTCCGAGGGCATACCGGCAGATATGCCTGCTCGATGAGGCGGGCAAGCTCTTCGAGCGCGCTCTATCTGCCCGCCTCCGAGAGCATTCAACGGACATGGCTCCCCATCTCAGCGTCAGCCAGTTCGAATTCTGGCGGGGTCGATCGGCGATCGACGCGATTAAGCGCGTTGGTCCCCTGTTGCAGGCTGCCGTTGACCGGAGCGGGGTGGTGCTGGCGGTCGTTGTGAATATCGCCAACGCCTTTAAGAGCCAGCCCTGCTCCGCCACCCGGTGTTTCCCGTTGTACCACAGGGTTCCCCAATACATGATGGCGGTGATCGGCGACTACTTGGCGGAGCGCTCGATCGAGTATCCCGGACGATACACGACCGTCGTGCGTGCGACGAACCGCGGGGTTCCACAGGGATCGATACTCAGGCTGATTCCCTCGGACCTCGCGTACGACGCCGTGTCGCGCACTTCACTCCCCCGCGGCCTGAGCCTGACGTGTTACGATGACGACACGCTGATGATGGCGGCCGGGTCGAGTTTGGAGGAGGCCACGTTGCCCGCGGAAAGCGGCGTGGCCCCCATGGCGAATAGCAACCAGCGGATGGGGCTGAGTATCTCCCCCGAGAAGACCGAGGCAATGTGGTTTTGCCATTGGCACCACGGGAAGACGCCGATGTCCCTGACGCGCGAGGGTAACGTCGCGGTCGAGATACGGGACCGGATGAAGTATCTCGGTCTCGTCCTCTATAGCCACTGGAAGTTCGACGAGCATCTTCTCGCGCAGGAACCACGTCTGGAAGGTATGGCGAGGACGCTTTGTCGCCAGCTACCCAACCAGTGTTGGCCAGACGGGAGGGTGCGCCGCCTCTACACGGGTGTCGTTCGATCGGTGGCACTTTACGGGGCTCCGATCTGGGCGAAGTACATGGTCGCTATTCCGCGCAGCCTGGCGATACTCCGGCGTGCCGCTCGCAGGATGGCGATCAGGTTCGTGCGCGGTTACCGCACGATATCCAACGAAGCGGCGAAGGGCCGGACGTGTACCGTCGGCGGCGGTGCTCCTGAAGAAGGGGCCGTTTCGTTGAGGCGAAGGTTCCAACAGCCCGTGATGACCGCCTGGCGAGCTGGGCTGAGGAGGCCGAGCAGCCGGCTGCACCGGGCCATCGAGGCTGTTCTCCCCGTGCTGGATGCATGGGGGCGCAGTGGCAGCCGGCACATTTTCCGCCTGACACAGGTGCCAACCGAGCACGGATGCTTCGGGGGTTACCTGTGACGTATCGGGCGGGAACGTGAGACGCGGTGTCATTACTTCGGGGAAGGGCGGGGCACGGCCCAGCACACGGTGGAGTAATTTCCGGCGTGGGCTCGCGAGCGCTGGGTACTTTGTCGCGTGGTGTGTCGGGACCACTCACTCTCCGTCGTCGTAGCGCGGATGACGGAGAGCTAAGGTGCGTGGCGTGCGCTGGCCTCCTTCTGCGAGGCGGTTATGTTGCAGAAAAAGGCCGCGGAGAGAGCACGCGAGCGTAGCATATGCTCCTGGCGTGTAGGACGGCGGAGACTGCAATCGCGTCGCCGGTGGGCGGCGTGCGCACTGCCGGATGTGTTAACGCGTTAGACCTCCGCCTTCGCGAGCGACCATGTGCCTACAGCCGGAGACCGTCTCTCTCTTCCGTTGCAACCTAGGTCAGTGTGACCACGGGCTGGCGTGTGGGGGCCCGTCTGTTCGAGAGACCGTGGTCCGGGCGCTCGGCGTCGCGTGACGATCGCGCGGCGTCCGCAGGGTATGCGTGCGTTGCGGTGCGGTTGTGTGCGTGTTGTGTGTACCTGTAATAGACCCGTCTCTCGCGCATGGGCATGATCGTTTCGGGTGCGATATCCCGTCGCGCCGGGAGGCTACTGCGGTTACGTCGCGGGGACGCCCTTGCAATTTCGTCGCCGCGAAGTCCAGGGCGCAACGGAATGCGATGGTCTGACCATCGTGTGGGCTTTAGTGGGTAAAAATCCCACATAGGGGGTCGGGTATCTTTGGAAGATTTCCCCCATGTGAAAAAAAGTAGGAAAATGTTACGCTAGGATATCTACGGCTATTACGCTGTAGACTGCAACGCGGTTGGCTTCTGAGCTCTGCTCTGCTGTAGTATATTCAGTTTGGCTCTGTGGAGACATGCAGTAGTGGCCTCGGCACGTTCGGTTGAGTGAGGTTGCGTTTGGTTATGTTATGTTTTGTCGGAATAGATTAGGATATCTGCGACTTCTGTGTTATTCACAGGAATTCGATGGATTTCTGCGCACTACTGTGCTCTAATATGTTTTGCTTGGCCCCACGGTGGCTATCAAAAGAGGTCGCGGCACGTTATGTTGGGTTAGACTACGTTTGGTTAGGTTGTGAATGGTAATTTTGGGTTTGGGTATCTTCGACTTTTGAGCTGTATACTGCTGTGCGGTGCATTTCTGCCTTCTACTGTGCTGTAAAATTTTTTGCTTGGCTCTGGGGAGTCCAAAAATGCTGGTCTCATCGCGCTATGTTGAGTTACGCCACGTTTGAGTTGGTTACTTCGGGGAAGATTAGGTTATGTTATCTTCCACTTTTGTGCTATGCACGGCAATGCGGGGTATTTCCGCGCTCTGCTGAGCTCAAGTGCATTCTGCTTGGCTTTGGGGAGGCCAGAAGTAGCGGCCGTGGGACGTTATGTTGAGTTAGTTTACGGTTGTTCATATTGCGGTTGGCTATGCTTCGACAGGATATCTTCGTCCTTTGTGATATACACTGCAATGCGGCGGAATTCTGGGCTCTAATGTGCTTTAATATGTTCTCAGTGGATCTGGGGAGACCAGCAGCATTGATCTCTGCACGTTAGGTTGAGTTAGGTTACGGTTGGTTATGTTCCGTTTGGGTAAGTTAGGAAAGGCTACTTTGACTTTTGTGCTATGCACTGCTATTCCGTGGACTTCTGCGCTCTAGTGTGCTCTAATATGCACTGCTTGGCGCTGGATTGGCCAGTAATAGTGGTCTCTTCACGTCAGGCTGTGTTAGGCTACGTTCCGTTGGGTTAAGTTAGAATGCTAAGGTCAGGATATCTACGGTTTTTCTGCTATACATTGCAATGCGGCGGATATCTGCGCTTTGCTGTGCTGTAGTATATTCTACTTGGCGCTGGGGAGGCCAGTAACAGTAGTCTCGGCTGGTTAGGTTGAGTTAATCTACGTTTGGTTAGGTTAGGCTAGGTCAGGTTATGTCAGGATATTTTCTACTTTTGTGCTATACGCTTCAATGCGGTGGATTTCTGCACTATGCTGCTCTCTAGAGTTTTCTTCTTTGCTCTCTGGAGGCCAGCATTAGTGGCTTCGGCACGTTAGGTTGAGCTATGCTACGTTCGGTTGTGTTACGTTGGGGAGGTCAGTATTGGATAGTTAAGACTTTTGTGTCATACACTCCTATCCGCGTATTTCTGCGCTCTACTGTGTTCTAATGGCTTCTGCTTGTGCCTTTGGAGGCCAGCAATAGTGGCCTCGGCACGCTAGGTTGAGTAAGTTTACGTTTGTTCAGGTTGGGTTAGGTAAAGCTCGGCCAAGTAACTTAGATTTCCGTGTTATACACTGCCGTTCGGAGTATTCCTTCGCAGTGCCGTGCTCTACTAAACTATGCTTAGCCCTCGGAACGCCAGCAATATTGGTCTCGGCACGTATGGTTTGGTAAGGTTACGTTTCGTTATGTTATGTTAGGACGGCTCGGTTAAGTTTTCTTTGTCTTTTGCGCTACAAACTGCAATTCGGCGGATTCCTGCGCTCCACATTGCTCTACTGTACTCAGCTCATCTCTGTGGAGGCGAGCAATCGTGGTCGTGGCACGCCAGTTTGTGTTGTGTTACGTTTTGTTAGGTTATGTTAGGTAAACTTTGGTTAGGATAGCGTTGACTTCCTCGTTATACACTGCTATTCGGTGGATTTCTGCGCTCCACGCTGCTCTATTATGCTCTGATCGACACTGAGGGGCGAGCAATTGCGCC